CCGGAAATGCCGCCGTCACCGAGGACCGCCGGCCGCTCGCTATTCGCGTGCGTAATTTGCCGGCACGCAGCAGCGACACATCCCTCAAGGACGGTCTCTTCCACGAGTACAAAAAACACGGCAAAGTGACGTGGGTGAAGGTCGTGGGGGCGGCCGGCGAGCGATACGCCCTGGTCTGCTTCAAGAAGCCCGAGGACGTGGAGAAGGCGCTCGAGGTGTCCCATGACAAACTGTTTTTCGGATGCAAGATCGAGGTCGCACCTTACCAGGGTTACGATGTCGAGGACAACGAGTTCAGGCCGTACGAGGCCGAGGTCGACGAGTATCATCCGAAGGCGACGCGGACGCTCTTCATCGGCAACCTTGAGAAGGACGTCACCGCGTCCGAGCTTAGGAAGCATTTCGAACCTTTCGGCGAGATAATAGTAAGTTGGTCCATTGCGACGAGTTCGATTAGACCTGGAACCTAAAAGGGAATCAAGTTTAATGGAAAAATCTCTTTAGATCGAAAGTACCGATGCGTTACAGTCTCAAATAGGGAACTCGAATCAAATTTCTACGTACAGTTGCTTTCTCCAACGAAATCTATTCGATTTTATAATCAACTTTTACGTCATCGTAACTTTTATATCGTCGCGAGCGAGTTCAAGTATGAATCAAGCGTTTCTTCTAGGTATCGAGATGTTAGATAGAGGCGTTTAATAGCATAGCGATTAAAGCAGAATCTTTTCCTAAACTTTGTAACAAGCGTCAAAGTAATTAAAGATGTAATAGTAGCTACGTGTGACGTCGAATGACGTGTTATAAAATTGCTTAACAAATAACAAATAACACACGGTCTTTCTCTCTTTCTCTATATATGCACGCGTGTACGTAGACTTCTGTAACTCTAATTCGATGGTAACAACGTCCGAACGGAAGCTTATTGGAAAGTTTTGAGAATCGGATGCGATCGAAATTTATGACGCGCGAATTGTCGTTGTTCGAATATTAACATTTGAACCGGACGTGAAACAGTTAAAACAGAATTTTGAAATTTTAATTGTTCCGTGAATGTTTCCGCGAATAATACGATACTTTAAATACGTCGCTTGGCACGAATCAATTGATACTCTTATACGAATAACTGAAACTTAAGCGTTACGAAATAGAATTTCTTAGATTCGATTGCATTTCGATTCCTTAGTATATCATCGTTCGAATAACTTTTCTACTTTGCACTATCGTATTTTTGGCTTAACGATGTTTTGCCACCTCTTCGGTAATGTTCGATTCTTCATTTTTGTTCGAACGCAAAATGCTTCGCTTCGTAGGAACTCGAACGAAGAGTCGGCCAACAGGCAAAAAAAAAAAAAAAAAGAAAA